GGGGAGGGGGAAGGATAGCATTAGGAGCTATACCTAATGTAAATGACGAGTTAATGGGTGCAGCACACCAACATGGCACATGTATATATATGTAACAAACCTGCACATTGTGCACATGTACCCTAGAACTTAAAGTATAATAAATAAATACAAAAGGAAAAGAGGTAGTCATAAATAGATTAATATCATAGCAAAATGGCTGTGCAACCGCCATCCAGTCAAGATTACTCTTTAGCTTCCCTTTGCCCCAAACACATACCAATTAGAAAATGTAAAAATGAAACCCAAAAAAGAAAAAAAGGTGAGTAGGACAAAAGTCATTAGTGAGCTTTGCTCCAAGTGACATGGAAGACCAGAGTCAGGGTCACTGCTGAACTTAAAGGCCTGAGGTCAGGGTCCCTGAATGTTTCAGGCAGTTCTCACATTGCTATAAAGAAATACCTGAGACTGGGTAATTTATAAAGAAAAGAGGTTTAATTGACTTATTAGCAAACCGAATTCAACAATACATTTAAAAGATGATTATGACAAAATGGCATTTACCCCAGGGATGCAAGGATGGTTCAACATATGCAAATCAGTGTGATACATCACATTAACAGAATGAAGGACTAAAACCATATGATTATTTCACTTGATGATGAAAAAGCATTTGATAAAATTCAATATCCCTTCATGATAAAATTCAATATCCCTCAAAGGGCCAGGCACAGTGGCTCACACCTGTAATCCCAGCACTTTGGGAGGCTGAGGTGGGCAGATTGCTTGAGCCCAAGAGTTGGAGACCAGCCTGGACAACAAGGTGAAATCCCATCTCTACAAAAAAATACAAAAGTTAGCCAGGCGTGGTGGTACACACCTGTAGTCCCAGCTACTTAGGAAACTGAGGTTGGAGGATTGCTTCAGTCTGGGAGGTCGAGGCTTCAGTGAGGAGATTACGCCACTGCATTCCAGGCTGGGCAATGAAGTAAGACCCTTTCTCAAAAAAGAATCTCAAAAAACTGGGTATAGAAGGAACTACCTCTATGTAATAAAAGCCACAGCTTGCATCATACTAAAAGAGAGAAAACCAAAAGCCTTTCCTGTAAGATCTAGAACATGACAGGAATGCCAACTTTCACCACTGTTTTTCAACATAGTGCTGGAAGTCTTAGCTAGAGAATTTCAGAGAAGAGAACAAAATAAAGAGCATTCAAATTGGAAATGAAGAGGTCAAATTATCCTTGTTTGCAGATAATATGATCTTATATTTGGAAAAACCTAAAGACTCCACCAAAACATTATTAGAACTGATAAATTCAGTAAAGTTGTGCAATAAAAATCAACTTATGAAAATCAGTAGCATTTCCATATGCCAACAGTGAACAATCTAAAAAAGAATTTTAAAAGTTATCCCACTTACAATAGCTACAAATAAAATTAGATACCTAGGAATTACCTTAACCAAAGAAGTGAAAGATCTCTACAATTAAAACTTAGAACATATAATGAAAGAAATTGAAGAGGACACACAAAAATGTAAAGATATTCCATGTTCATGAATTAGAAGAATAAATATTGTTAAAATGTCCATAATACTTAAAGTAATCTACAGATTCAATACAATCCCTGTCAAAATATCAATAACATTCTGCACAGAAATTTTTAAAAATCCTAAAATTGATATGGAACCACAAAAGACCCAGAGTAGCCAAGCTATACTGAGCAAAAAGAACAAAACTGGAGGAATCACATTACTTGATTTCAGATAATACTACAGAGGTATAGTAACCAAAATGGCATGGTCCTGGCATAAAAACAGACCAATGGAACAGAATAGAGAATGCAGAAATAAATCCATACATCCAGAGTGAACTCATTTTTGACAAAGGTGCCCATAACATGCACTGGGGAAACGACAGTCTCTTCAGTAAATGGTGCTGGGAAAACTGGATATCCATATGCAGAATGAAACTAGACCACTATCTCTCCTCATATACAAAAATCAAATCAAAATGGATTAAAGACATATCTAACTCCTCAAACTATGAAACTACTATAAGAAAACATTGGGGAAACTCTCCAGGACATTGAACTAGGCAAAGATTTCTTGAGTAATACTCCAAAAACACAGGCAACCAAAGCAAAAATGTAAAATAGGTTCACATCAAGTTAAAAAACTTCTGCACAGCAAAAGAAACAATCGACAAAGAGGCAACCTGCAGAATGGGAGAAAATATTTGCAAACTACCATCTGACAAGGGATTAATAACAGAAACTATAAGGAGCTCAAACAACTCTAAAGGAAAAAATATAATAATCCAATTTAAAAAATGAGCAAAAGATCTGAATAGACACTTCTCCAAAGATGACATATGAATGGCAGACAGGTATATGAAAAGGTGCTCAACATCATTGATCATCAGAGAAATGCAAATCAAAGCTACAATGAGATATCATCTCACTCCAATTAAAATGGTTTATATCCAAAAATGAGACAATAATAAATGGTGGATAAGACGTGGAGAAAAGGGACCCTTGTACACAATTGTCGGGAATGTAAATCAGTACAACCACTATGGAGAAAAGTTTGGAGATGCCTCCAAAAACTAAAAATAGAGCAACCATATGATCTAGCAACCCCACTGCCAGGTATATTCCTAAAAGAAAGGAAATCAGTATATCAAAGAGATATCTGCACTCCTATGCTTATTGCAGCACTATTCATAGTAGCCAAGATTTGAAAGTAACCTAAATGTTCATCAGCAGATGAATGGATAAAGAAAATGTGGTACATATACACAATGGAATACTATTCAGCCATAAAAAAGAATGAGAGTCTGTCATTTGCAACAACATGGATGGAACTGGAGGCCACTGTGTTAAGATAAGCCAGACAGAGAAAGACAAACTTTGTATGTTCTCACTTATTTGTGGGAGCTAAAACTTAAAACCACTGAACTCAGAAGCTGTTACCAGAAGCTGAAACAAATAGTGTGTTGTGGGGGGTGAAGTGAGGATGGTTAATGGATACTAAAAAAATAATTAGAATGAATAAGATCTAGTATTTGCTAGCATAATGTGGTGACTATAGTCAAAAATAATTTAACTGTACATTTTTTTAAAGTGAAAGGGTATAATTAGATTGTTTGTAACATAAAGGATAAATGCTTGAGGAGATGGATGCCTCATTTACCAGATGTGATTATTACATATTCTATGCCTGTATCAAAATCTCTCATGTACTCCACAAATACATACACCTACCATGTACCCATGAAAATAAAA